AACTTTTAATGATTTATGATTTTTATTTGAGATAAATATTAATAATCAATAATGAAGGAAAAAAGTATTATAATTACTATTTGAAAAATATCATTACACCAGTAATAAAAATATGATGTAAAACAAAAAAGATCAAAAATTAAATTAAAAACGCCCGGCGTACATTTTACGCCCAGGACTTACATTTTTATACTCGGAGCTTATGCCTCAAATTTTAGGACTTACGCCTAATGAATCTACATCTTTAATTTACACCTCGAAGCATTTTTGGTACGCCCGCCCCAAAACTTGCCCTGAGACTCACCCCAAAAACGTTTTTGAAAACACTGGTACGATCCATTAAAACAAAATTTTTAATCACGTATTGTAAGATCCATTTAGAGGTGGTGCTTCTAATAAAAACAATTTCCATATTTAAGATTCGAACTCAAAACCTTTAACTAAGGATGAAACAATCTCAACCACTGCCCTACAGCTCAACTTGTCTTTTCAGTTATGCTTCTCCATTTTCATCATTTTGGATTTTATTTTTAATGTATAAGCCACATTGTGAGTAGAGCTGTCAAAATAGGCTGGCCCAACCCAACCCTAACGGGCTAGAGAGTTAAATGGGTTGGGACGGGCTAACCCTTTTAATTGACAGGCCTATAAAATAGTAGCCCAACCCATCTCTAAGCGGGCCACGGGTTAGGATGAATTTACCCTTCAACCAAAAAACGGATAACATTTTCCTCTTAGAAAGAATACAAGCGTTGATGAATTACACATACTTCAGTGAATATTTACAAAACAAATACATAATAACCAAGATACAACATTCATAAGTTTCATCCGAGCAAAAAACATTACATGATCACTATTTTCATAAACAAAACAATAAAGGAGAAGTGAAAAATTAGGCATAAAAACAAAAGTAAAAGAGGTCAAAGATTCTTAGTTATAATGGAGTAATGGATTTAGGGTGATAAAAAAATTTAGCGGACTAATGACCCTAAAATGTAAAAGATATATAAAAAATATAGTCTTGATTTTATATTGGTATTTTAAAATTATTTATTGACAAAATCTTAACAAGTAAAACATTACTTAAAATATATATAATAAATATTTTTAAAATTTACTGTCCGCGGGCTGGCCTCTGAGGCTTCCGGGTTGGGCCTACGAGGCCAGCGGGCCAAATGAGGCTAGGTTAAAAAGTCTCGTTCCTAAATGGACTGAAAAAATTGAGCCCAATCCCCATCTAATTCAAAGATTGAGTTGGACCAACCTAGCGGGTCAAATCCATTTTGACAGCTCTAATTGTAAGGTCTGTGATTATGCCACGTTCCCCTTTGTGTCTTCTCATTCTCAACTAACCATACGTGAATTTTGTTTTTGCATCCCAATGATTTGTCGATTGATCAAGTTTGGTCCCCTAATTTTTGTCTATTTTTTTCATGTGGCTACTAGTACTGATCGCGAATTCATTAGTTGCCCTGTCGGTTTCGTTCGCACATTATTATTTTTTTCTATACTATTGAAAATATTTTTTTGATTTTTAATATATTTTTTTTCGTTATACGTTGACACAGACATAGATAAATATAATTTTAATAAAAAATCACATATCAAACTAAGAAAATTCATATAACCTATATCCCAATTTTAACTCATGCCTGACACATTCTTTCCGGTGACCCAGCTTGAAACATAATCCATCTTCATAGTCATCTTCTCCGCCTAAAACTTACATTTAAAAGTTTTCGAAGATGAACAAGTGTGAGAAAATGATTTTGACCAGATTTAGTGATTACAAAATTTCTGCTCTTTTTTTTTTCTTCTTCAAGTTAAATACATCTCTCCATTTTTCCAAGTATGAGTTTGAGTCACGAAAAAAAATAAAAAAAATGGGAGCTCCCAAAAAAGATTTCAACATATTGCTTTTTGTTCAAATATCACAATTTTTATATTCAAACACTCACCTAGTTATATTGGTGATCGATGATTATGTAAAAAAGTTCTACTCCACGTGTAGGTTAATTGTCATTGCAGGTTATCTACTTTATTTTTAAAATTAATTAGCTTGACTTATTAGGAATATTATAATAACACATTCAGTGTAATTCTACAAGTAATGTATAGGGAGAGCGGAGTGTATTGGTAGAATTTTTTTAATAGACCCTCAACTCAAGGAAATCCATAAAAAAATATACTCATATAAAACAAATATGGTAGAAAAGAAGTTAGGCCGAAGACAATGAAAAAGAAACACATAATATATAAACATGATTCTTAACTTGTCTTCAACGTGTAACTATGCGCTCCAACTTTGAATGTGCATAAAAAGACACTTAAAGTTGTAAAAAATTGAACAAGTAGACACATGTGTCTTATATGGCAGAACACACGTAGGACGCCACATTGGACACAAAGTATGTCTATTTATTCAATTTTATACAAGTTTAAGTGTTTACTTGTGCACCCCCAAAGTTAAAAATCATAGTTATCAGTTGACACCGAGTTAAAGGTCATATTTATGTATTATGCCAAAAAGAAATCCGTACTTATTTGAATATTTATTTGTAATTAGTTTCTCAAGTACTATTTATAATATATTTTTTTCCTTATTTTATTAATTTGTATAAATTAAACTCATTCTAGTTTCATCTATTAAAGTTTGGATTGTTGTGAACCAAGTTGAGTCATAAGGGTTTCATATATGTACATGCATTAATAGGTCATCTTAAGTGGGCAACTAAAACATCATGAAAGAGACAATAAGCTCACAATTTTACAAATATGTTGTTGTCGCGTCTGCTGTTGGGTTCCAACACCCTCACATTTCTTGGAGGCATGAAATTAAACTTTCCTAATTTCTCCACTTTTTAAGATTGGTGTAAAGTGTAAACTATATACAAATGTAATCGCAGTTTTAATTTAGTTTACACTAATCACATATTATAAGCAACAAATCCGTTTACTCAATGTAGATTATAATGTTTTTGTTATTTAACTGTGCATATACTACGCCAATTTTCTGTTGTTAGGAAAAGTTTCCTTGAGCGAGTATGGTAGAGTTTGATTTTTCTACCCAAAAAATAAAAATAAAAAACCCCAAAATGCAGCTAGCTTATTATAATTAGATCTCTATACATCATCCTTATTGTTGATGTCTTTTATTAAAGAAGTTTCACATGGGCCAATTATGGGATAAGTGGTCTATGATTACCTATTGAGCTAACTTTTGAGGTTGAATTAGACCTAATATTCATTTCTTTATCTTTCTTTAATGCCTATTATATTATTTTCTCCCATCTTGAGACAAACAAAAATAATAATACATAATTGTAAATATACAAACTATATATAGTTTGAAAATAAAATTACATCAATTATTCAAGCTTTAACTTGTGTAGGTAGTATCAAGACAAACTTAAAAGATGTGAACTTGTGGACAAAGCCACTTCATCAAACAAATGATAAGAACTTCCAATCACACACACACACATTGCACACTGGTATTCATGTTTAGAAGGAAAAGTTGAGCATGTTCATGCTTAAGTTCTCCAGCATCTCATTCTCCATGAAACCACATCCATAATTTGTGGCAATCATTTTGTTATAATAGTTGTGGGGCTTGAGTGAGCAGCTTGAAGAAATGGGCAGAATAGGAAGGTTGTCACAGTTGCATATTTCAATCATGTAGCCATCAGGATCATGGAAAAACACTTGATCCACCTTTATCCCTTCTTCCTCCACAAGTGCAGTCGCGTATCGCATTCCCATTTCCTCCAACCTCCTCTTCACTACCACAACATCACTACTCTGCTAATTGCAGTTCCACATGTTAGGAAATCGCAATCGGAACGATTGAAAAAACAACTGAACCCAAATACATTGTGCTTTTTGAAATTATGGGTTCATAGTAATTAATGTCAAATGTTTGATTCGATTAGCTAGGCTGAACTCATATTACATGATCTGCCTCTGTTTAAAGAATGAAAGTAAATTTACCTGGAAGGAAATGTGGTTATCCTTGGGATTAATTGGTCGAGGTTCATCGTAATCCTCCATACCTTTGTTCTCAAGCAAGTGAATCCCCACTCCATAGTTGTACAACCTTACAAAAGCAATTACTATATTAAAACACGAAGCATGCATATATATGTGTGTGTGAATATTGTATTTGTAATAGAGAGGCTAATTAATTACCAGGCTCCATGGAAGTTGAAAGAAGAAGGGCGTTTAACAAGGCAAAAACCCAAGATATCTTCATAGAAGCGCACAGAATTCCAGACATCTCTCACTAACAAGGACACATGATTTAGTGAAAGCAGAGGCAGTGCTTCGCAGCTGCTCACTTCCTCAATCTCTACTATCATCTTTCCTTCCTCGATCGATAGATTATTATTATTATTATTGATTTTTTCCTTTTCTCTTGTTATGGACAAGTCTAGCTAGGGAGATTGGCTTATTTATAACTGCATAACGGAGACTTGCAATTGGCAAATGAAGATCTGTGAACTTTCCTAGAAAATTCTTATCATTGGAGTGTAAGTATAGGACAACGATGTACCATTTAGAATTTTATTATAGTAAGAAGGATCGGAGTTGTGTAAAAATGGAAGCAACCTATTTTCATTTTGCCACACCAACGCCTACTGTCGCAGATATCAGTCTAGCCCGGCTGATCTATATGTTTCAAGTGTGTTGAACCTTTATTTTTTTCAACAACTTAAGCTTTTAGATGAGCAGCCCGAATATGTGTCATGGAGTAGGGTTTTATACTTGCAAGAAAAAAAACTGCACATGATTAGATTGGCTTTCGTACAAGCAAATAGATTTGTCACGGAGTACGGTTTTGCTGGTAATTGGGCGTTCCATAATCCGAAGAAACTTCTTCGACGCTTCTGCTTCCTGCCAATTCTTTGTATAGTTTCTTTTATTCTTCAACATAATCCAAATGCGTGAGATTTTTATATCTATAAAAGGTACACAATTCCATGCTCTTTGAAACTACGCTACAATCTTTCTTTTTCACAAGATGGGGTAGCATCTGTGTATACACCACCACCCTACTAAGTATATTATTATTCTTATTCTAATTTCAAAAGCAGAAGAGAAAGATTTAAGATATTCATCAATTTCTCCAATGTGCAGGTCAGAGATAATTAATTAGCTAACGTTTATGGATTACAAAGCGACCAGATCAGAGATCTTCTTCATCAAATGTATGATACCTATTTCCAAGCACGATGAAGAGAAATTGAGAATCAACTGTTGGAATGGAGAACATCAATTTAGTGAATAAAGCATGTAACGGCAAGGGTCATATTGTTTGAAAATATTAATAGTGTAAGATGAAGAAGTTGCGGAGCGAGAACAAATCGTGTACTATATGCGAACTTGCGTGATCAATCAATGAACAGGGAAATTGCGTGAATGATGAGACCGAATCGTTAAATTCACCACCAAGAGAATTTAGTATCCCATGAACTAATCCATTTTAAAAAAAATATAGTTATACTTGAAGAATCCTCAATGCCCTGTATTCTATATATAATAAGCCACAATGCAACTATCATTGTAGCTATCTTGTTAGCTTTCAACCAAAAGCTAACAAGATTTTTAGTTACATATTTATTATGTCATTGTATGAGCTATTTATTACTCATTCCTTTTGAATTTGTTAATCTGATTTTGATCTGACACATAGTTTACGAAAGTAAATTAGATTTTGAGAAAAAAACATTAAGTGATACTTGAAGTTGTCCCAGATTTTCAAAAAGACACATTAACTTTGCGTGCGTCCTACTACCCCACAAAACATTCAAAATCACAATAAATACACATTTTTTACACAATATTTCCACTTTGGACAAAAATATCCTTCGAATGTGCAATTTCTTAAAAACAAAAAGTCGGACCCATTATTGATGTATTGAAGGATGCTTTGGTAATTTCCTATGATGAATTCGTTTTGTTTGTT